ATAAACTGGCAGTTCTGGCCATGCTGCTCAGCGTTCCCAGACGGGCTCCCGACCACAGTTACCAACCATCCCTGTGCCCCTTCTCACTTGTATCCATGGGAACCGAGGACAGACCGAGAGGGCTTCACAGTTCAAGAGAAGTAGGAGAGAGTACATTTCCTTGTGGAAGTGAATTCTACTCTGTGGTTAATATGCCAAAGATGTCTAGGCTGAAAGAAAAACTACATCCCACCTGCTTTACTACTGATGCTCTGTGTGGGCCCCGCTCCCAGCTCTCCCCAGGCCTCAGTTACCAGCATTTATGTTGACTGCCCTGAGCCTCTCTCAAATTCATTTCTGAATTGAATCGGAGGTTAATTTAGACTTGAATCTTCAGCTGTTTCCTGAATGTGTCTCCTAAATGTCCCACAGGCACCTTGTGAATTCAACAAACACTTAATTGGGCATCCACTATACACCAGGCACTGTTCTAGACTCCAAGACATCATGAAAATAACACATGAAGCTTTGCACTCATTCTCCAGGGTTCCAAGAGAGAACACAGCAGAGACCCTTCTTGTCTTGCTTTTTTTTTTTTTTTTTTTTTTTAAGAGACAGGGTCTCCATTTGTTGCTTAGGCTGGAGTGCAGTGGCACAAGCACAGCTCACTGCAGCCACAACCTCCTGGGCTCAAGTGATCCTCCCACCTCAGCCTTCCAAGTAGCTGGGACCACAAGAATGGATCACTATGCTGAGCTGATGTTTTTTTTTCTTCTTGAGACAGTCTTGCTCTGTCACCCAGGCTGAGGTGTAGTGGTATCTCGGCTCACTGCAACCTCCACCTCCTGGGATCCAGGAATTCTCCTGCCTCAGCCTTCTGAGTAGCTGGGATTACAGGCATGCACCACCACACCCAGCTAATTTTTGTATTTTTAGTAGAGATGGGGTTTCACCATGTTGGCCAGGCTGGTCTTGAAACTCCTGACCTCAGGTGATCTGCCCACTTCAGCCTCCCAAAGTGCTGGGATTACAGGCATGAGCTACTATGTCTGGTCTAATTTTTTTTTTTTTTTTTTTTTTTTTTTTTTTTTTTTTTTTTGAGACAGAGTCTCACTCTGTTGTCCAGGCTGGAATGCAGTGGTATGATCTCAGCTCACTGTAACCTCCACCTCCAGGGTCCAGGTGATTCTCATGCCTCAGCCTCCCAAGTAGCTGAAATCACAGGTGTGTGCCACCACACCCAGCAAACTTTTGTATTTTTAGTAGAGATAAAGATGAGGTTTTACCCTGTTGGCCAGGCTGGTCTCAAACTCCTGACCTCAGGTGATCCATCCACCTTGGTCTCCCAAAGTGCTGGGATTACAGGCACAAGTCACCATGCCCAGCCCTGGCCTCTAATTTTAAAATATTTTGTAAAAACTGGGTCTCACTAGGCCAGGCACGAAGGCTCATGCCTGTATCCCAGCACTTTGGGAGGTCAAGGCAGGCAGATCATGAGGTCAGAAGATTGAGACCATCCTGGCCAACATGGTGAAACCCCATCTCTACTAAAATACAAAAAATTAGCCAGGCGTGGTAGCACATGCCTGTAGTCCTAGCTACTCAGTAGGCTGAGGCAGGGTAATCGCTTGAACCCGGGAGGTAGAGGTTTTAGTGAGCCAAGATTGTGCCACTGCACTCCAGCCTGGCGACAGAGTGAGACTCTGTCTCAAAAAAAAAAGAAAAGAAACTGGGTCTCACCATGTTGCCCAGGCTGGTCCTGAACTCCTAGGCTTGAGCTGTTCTCCAGCCTTAGCCTCTCAAAGTGCTGGGATTAGAGGTGTGAGTCACTGTGCCCAGACCTTCTCATCTCTTAAAGAGGACTGGTCCAAGGATCTGTTGAGAAGACTAAAAGATGTGCTGTAGGTCCTTAAGCCAGGGACCCCTGAAGGCCAGGCAGCCATGGCACAGAGTTGTCCTGGCCTACTTAGGGCTTCTCTTCAGTCTCTTTCCAGTCCAGGTTTGGGACAGAGCAGATGACAGTCCCTCTAGGGTGGTAAGGGCATCAGTGGGAGGCAGGAAGCCCCAGGAAGTGGCACCACCATTACCAAGGCCTACGGTCCTTGAAGTACCAGGAAGTCAGCTTTCCAGAAAGATGCTCGGCAGGTAAATGGTGCTCAGTGCTCAGGACAGCGCACCCAGCTTCAGGCCTGGATTCTAGTCTGGCTCACAGCTCAATGGCAGTGTGACTTTAGTCAAGTCTCCCAACCTTTCTGCGTCTCATCTAGAAAGTAAGTGGGCCAGGCATGGTGGCTCATGCATGTAATGCCAGCACTTTTGGGCTAAGGAGGGAGAATTGCTTGAGCCCAGGAGTTCGAAATCAGCCTTGGCAACCTAGGGAGACCCTGTCTCTTAAAAACGAAAAAATTGGTTCTCTGCTCCTCCTGTTCAACAGACAGCCACATCTTGTCTCCCGTCGCCAGCCACATCCCTGAGACACCACGGGGAAGGTGAGGGTCGGAGTCAATGGATTTGGTCGTGTTGGGCGCCTGGTCACCTGCGCTGCTTTTAACTCTGGTAAAGTGGATATTGTCGCCATCAATGATCCCGTCATTGACCTCAACTACATGGTCTACATGTTCCAGTATGATTCCACCATGGCAAATTCCATGGCACTGTCAAGGCTGAGAATGGGAAGCTTGTCATCAATGGAAATCCCATCACCATCTTCCAGGAGTGAGATCCCTCCAAAATCGAGTGGGGCGATGCTGGTGCTGAGTACATGATAGAGTCCACTGGCGTCTTCACCACCATGGAGAAGGCTGGGGCTCTTACAGGGAGGAGCCAAAAGGGTCATCATCTCTGCCCCCTCTGCTGATGCCCCCATGTTCGTGATGGGCGTGAACCATGAGAAGTATGACAACACCCTCAAGATCGTCAGCAATGCCTCCTGCACCACCCACTGCTTAGCGCCCCGGCCAAGGTCATCCATGACAACTTTGGTATCGTGGAAGGACTCATGACCACAGTCCACACCGTCACTGCCACCCAGAAGACCATGAATGGCCCCTCTTGGAAACTGTGGCGTGATGGCCGTGGGGCTCTCCAGAACATCATCCCTGCCTCTACTGCCAAGGCTGTGGGCAAGGTCATCCCTGAGCTGAACGGGAAGCTCACTGGCATGGCATTCCATGTCCCCACTGCCAACGTGTCCATGGTGGACCTGACCTGCTGTCGGGAAAAACCTGCCAAATATGATGACATCAAGAAGGTGGTGAAGCAGGTGTCGGAGGGCCCCCTCAAGGGCATCCTGGGCTACACTGAGCACCAGGTGGTGTCCTCTGACTTCAACAGCGACACCCATTCTTCTGCCTTCGATGCTGGGGCTGGCATTGCCCTCAATGACCACTTCGTCAAGCTCATTTCCTGGTATGACAATGAATTTGGCTACAGCAACAGGGTGGTGGACCTCATGGCCCACATGGCCTCCAAGGAGTAAGACTCCTGGATCACCAGACCCAGCCAGAGTACGAGAGGAAGAGGCCCTCACTGCTGGGGAGTCCCTGCCACACTGAATCCTCCACCACACTGAATTGACCTTCCTTTCAGTTTCCATGCAGACCCCTTGAAGAGGGAGGGGCCTAGGGAGCCCCACCTTGTCATGTACCATCAATAAAGTCCCCTGTGCTAAAAAAAAAAAAAAAAAATTAAAACTAAAAAATAAATTGGCTGGGCAGTGACTCACGCCTGTAATCCCAGCACTTTGGGAGGCCAAGGCAGGCAAATAATGAGGTTGGGAGTTAAAAACCAGCCTGACCAATATGGTGAAACCCTGTCTCTTCTAAAAATAAGAAAAATTAGCCAGGCATGGTGGTGCGCACCTGTAGTCCCAGCTACTCAGGAGGCTGAAGCAGGAGAATCACTTGAACCGGGGAGGCAGAGATTGCAGTGAGCCGAATCACGCCACTGCATTCCAGCCTGGGTGACAGAGCGGGACTATGTCTTTAAATAAATAAATAAAGATTAAAAATTAAATAAGTGATTGCAGACATTGAAGGTTGCTAGGAGGGGATCTAGTCTGGTATAGGATAGATCCTGGCAAAGTTACTGTCCTTCTCCCCATCCCTCAACCCCTGGACCTGTCACTGGGTCCCATCTCTGCCATATTACTGTCTGTTCCTCCCTTGCCTGGCTCCCTCCTCTAGGCCATTGCTGCAACTCCTCTTCCCAGCCTCCCTCTCATTCCCTCAGTGCCCTGGGGCCCCTTTTCTGTAATACAACACAAATCTAAACTGGTCCCTTCACTATATCAAACTCTGCTGTGCCATGCCCTGACCTCAAGAAACAGCCCCAGCTGTACCACCTGGTACTTGTGGCCTCCCAGAACCTAAAGGCTGTCCTCTCTAGCCCCACCTTCTTCTGTTTGGATGGGAGCTGGCCCCTCCAGGCCTTTGCTGTGGCCATTGCCGTTTTCCACACCCTGTCTCTGCAGACCCACCCACAACTACCCTTCCCTCTTTTTTTTGAGACAGGGTCTCACTCTGCCACCCAGGTTGGAGTGTAGTGGTGTGATCTCACTGCAACCTCTACCTCCCGGGTTCAAGTGATTCTCTTGCGTTAGCCTCCTGAGTAGCTGGGATTACAGGCATGCATCACCATACTTAGCTAATTTTTGTATTTTTAGTAGAGATGGGGTTTCACAATGTTGGCCAGGCTGTTCTCGAACTCCTGACCTCAGGTGATCTACCTGTTTCAGCTTCCCAAAGTGCTGGGATTACAGGTGTGAGCCCCACAGCTGGCCTAACTACTCTTCTCCAACCTCCAACCCAGCCCAGACCAGTGGTTACCCTCATGCTCATGTCTGTGGGCACCAGGCCTGGCACATGGGATCCCACCTGTACCTCCTCCCCTGACATGAGCCCGCTATGTCCGCATCACAAGGACCACTGAGATGGCCAGCCCAAGAAACTCATCTTACTCTCCACCCTGCCACATGCCTCAAATTCTACCCCTCTGGGTACACAGGGAAAGGGCACACAAGACACAGCTGAGCACAGGTTTATTGTGGCACTGGAGGTGAAAGGGGGCCAGTGTGGCCAGCACCAGTGTGCTGTGGTGGTGAAGGGAGTGGGATGGAAGGATAAGGGGGGTGAGGCAGGGCCCAAGGAACCCCAGGCTCGGGCCAGGAGCCAGGGTTAAGGCAACCGTTGCTGGCCCTACCCAGAAATGCCAGGCCATGACTCCAGGCCCCTCAGGCTAGGGGCAGCCATGGCAGCCATGGGCAGAAGGGGCTCATACATGGGAGAAGGCGTGGCTCTTGCAGAGGGGCTTGTCCTTCTTGGAGTAGAAGGTCTTTCCTTCAAGGTTAATCTGACATATCTAAGGGCAGCAAAGACCCAGTCATTGGGCTTGAGGACAGCAGGAGAGGCCCCTTCCCAACTTCTGCATCCCCCAGGCAAAGAACAGAGGGCCGGTGAGCTTGGGGCTGAGTCTGAGGGGCGGGGTTCTCACCGCACAGACAAAGCACGTGTCATGCCAGCTGAAGCCCAGCGCCTCCAGGAAGCGGTCCCCGGCGTCGATCTTGAAGTCACAGCCACGACATTTCGTGCCAAACATCTTCTCATAGTCTGGGGGTAGGGGTGGAGAGGAAGGGGACCTGGATTTGCACCTGCCCCATGCGCCATCCCTCCTCACCCTCACTGGCCAGCGGGTACCTCGCTCGCAGTAGGGCGCGCCCTCCTCCATGTAGAAGGCCCTGTTCCGGATGGGCGTCTTGCAGGCGGCGCAGGTGAAGCAGTGGACATGCCAGGTCATCTTCAGGGCATGCATGATCTCCTGGAAGGAGGTGGCAGTCACTTGGCAGGCTCGGTCCCCTCCCGCCCTATCCTGCGTCATGGAACACAGGACGGCTGGCCTCGGGCCTTCTCATAGTAAACACTACATCTAACCGTTCAGGACTCCCACACCTCCATCTCCAACTCCATGGTCTCTGAGTGGATGGCCATTGCGTCTTCAGACTTGCCATGTCCAACACTCAGTTCCTGATCCCCTCACACCAAACCTCTCCTCCCACAACCATCCCCATCACACCAATGGGAACTCCATTCTCCCATCTGCTACCAAACACACACTCCTCTCACATCTCACACCTGGTCCACCAGGCAATCCAGTGCAGCCCACCCCAACGGCACATCCAGATTCTGAATGCGTCTCAGCCTCCCTGATGTAAGGTGTGAGCCACGACCATCTCTGGCCCCTGGGACCACACAAAACCGGCCTGCAAGCTCCATCCTCTGATCCCAGCTGCCACAGCAGGCCCCTGCAACCCACGCCAGGCCACGCCCCCCTGGATGAAACATTTCTCCCAGTAAGAGCCAAGCCCCATGCAGAGGTTGGAGGCCCGCAGGTCTAACCTCATTCTTGCCCGTCTCCCCCACTGCTCTCCCCTTGCCTCTGCATGCTGGCCTTTTGCCTGAAATTGGCACACTAGGCATGCTCCTGTCCTGGGCTCGACACTGGCTGTCCCCTCTGCCTGGACTACTGCCCTGGATATCTCAAGTCTTACCCCTCAGCCCCCTCAAGTTTCCATTCGAATGTCATCTTCTCCACGAGGCCCTCTCTGACCACACCAGTAGCAGCCAGCCGCCTTCCCTACACCACGCCCCAGCACTTCTTGCTCTGCTCTTTCCTGTTTTCCGTAATGTGATCTAACATTACTTCCAGGCAACTTACTTATTGTGCTTATTGCTTACTGTCTGCCTCTCCTCTTCCAGCCAAAATGTAAGGCCCAGGAGGGGATAGAGCATCAACTGTCTTGTTGGCTGATCTATCCCCACAGTGCCTGGCCCTTTGTGGGTGAGTTGACTGGGCTCTGAGGGAGGTGGGAGGGGACAGAGCCCCTCCCTGGGCTGGGCTATTCATCCGTAGGACTCTAGGGGCCAGCCAGGGCCAGAAGTATTCACATCTGGAGCAGGCAGAGGGCAGCATGGGGCCTCAAGGCGGTATGAAGGTCAGAGATCTGTGGGTTTGGCCAGACCTTGACCTCAAGTCTTGGTTTCTTCCCTTGTGAACTGGGAACCCAATCCCAGCCTTCTGAGGCTATTATGAGAAGGGCCCTGAGTTTAAATCCAGGGATTCTAGATCCAGTCCCTGCAAGGGCCAGGTGGGGACTGTGTCACATGGAGGAGCACCTCTTCTTCCTCTGGGAGTGGCACTACTGGTTCATTCAGGAATGCCTGCCTGGCTCAGGCTGAAATCTAGGTGTTAAAGTGAAATCTACTGGGCACAGTGGCTCACATCTGTAATTCTAGTGCTTTGGGAGGCCAAGGTGGGAGGATCGCTTGAGGCCAGGAGTTCAAGACCAGCCTGGCCAACATAGCAAAACCCCATCTCTACAAAAAATAAAATAAAATAAAAAATCTGCTGAGCATTCTAGTGGGAACCTCTAGTCCCAGCTACTTGGGAGGCTGAGGTGGGAGGATCCTCTGAGCCCAGGAGATCAAGGCTGCAGTGAGCAGTGATCATGCCAGTGCACTCCAGCCTGGCAACAGAGCAAGACCCTGTCTCTACACATAAATAAATGAAAAGCAGATTTTACTTTCACTCTGCCTCCCAAGTAGCTGGGACCACAGGTGTATGCCACCACACTTGGCTAATTTTCTAATTTTTTGTAGAGACAGGGGTCTTGCTTGCTATGTTGCTCAGGCTGGTTTTGAACTCCTGGGCTCAAGCAGTCCTCCCACCTTGGCCTCCCGAAATGCTGGGTCACAGGCATGAGCAACTGCATCAGGCAAATCTTCTCATTTTAAATTGTTGGCTACTGATTGTAAAGTGAAATGGAACAGTGTGAGCCAAGCAAGATGTTAAGTGTGAGTGACAGGTAGGCTTCGGATGGCGTGTTTCTACCCTCGACAACACCTGTACCCCATCCCACGTGTACCTCACAACAGTGCTGGCTCCAGCATAGTGCCACCCTTCTCTTTACTGAGGCCCAGAGAGCAACTACCCCTGCTCACACAGCCAATAGATGGCAGAAACAGGTTTCGTGCCCACGTCTGGCTGGCTCTTCTTACTTTCTGGTGTTGCCTGTTTTACAGAAGCAGACAAGGTCACAGTGAAGGAACTTGGGCTTTAAGCTGGAAGGAGAGGGGGCGCTGACAGGGGTGTGGGTTGGTAGGGCGGATGCCCAGGACTGGGAGGCAGATTTCTTTTTTTTTTTTTTTTTTTTTGAGACAGAGTCTCTGTAGCCCAGGCTGGAGTACATTGGCATGATCTCGGCTCACTGCAACCTCCGCCTCCCAAGATCAAGCGATTTTCCTGCCTCAGCCTCCCAAGTAGCTGGTATTACAAGTATGCCAGCACACCCAGCTAATTTTTGTATTTTTAGTAGAGACAGGGTTTCACCATGTTGGCCAGGCTGGTCTCGAACTCCTGACCTCAGGTGATCTGCCCACCTCAGCCTCCCAAAGTGCTGGAGTTACAGGCATCAGCCACCCCGCCTGGCCTGGGAGGGAGATTTCTGCTGGTATACAGAACCTGTGGCCCAGATATCAATGTCTCTTTCACCCGCTAAGATGGTTAGATGTTTCCTACATCTGTCTGCCTCTGCCATCTGCACTGTGCTGGCCCAGGGCCCAACAGCCTCCAGTCCCCTGTCTTAGCTCCATCTTCCACCTGCCCCAGAGGAAGAGTTCAGAGGCACATCTGACCTAACCAGCCCCCAGCTCTAAGCTCTGAACATGGCCATCACCCAGCCCTCCCCTCATCTCATACTCTTCCCAGGCATGACCTGGTGACACAAGCTATTTCCTCTACTTGGATCCCTCTCCCAGTGAATTCTTACTCATGTTTAAGTCCCACTCAGAGGCCACTTCCATCCGCTTACTCATGTTTGCTGGCCACTTCCTGTATGCGGGGCTGGGTGCTGGGTGCAAATAGCCCTGCTCTCAACTTACGAAGCTCATACCTGGGGAAGCGAGATGGGCAGAGGGAAAGGACTAGGGTATAGTGAGCAAATGGTGGGGGGCCTGGCATGGCGGGAGAGGGTGTCAGGGAAGGTGTTCCTGAGGAAGTGATATTGAGTTCCAGAAGGAAAGAAAGGAGGACCAGGCGTGGTGGCTCACGCCTGTAATCCCAGCACTTTAGGAGGCCAAGATGGGTGGATCATGAGGTCAGGAGTTTGAGACCAGCCTGGCTAATATGGTGAAACCCCATCTCTACTAAAAATACAAAAATTAGCCAGGTGTGGTGGCGGGCACCTGTAGTCCCAGCTACTCGGGAGGCTGAGGCAGGAGAATCCCTAGAGCCCAGGAGGCGGAGGTTGCAGTGAGCAGAGATCGTGCCACTGCACTCCAACCTGGGTGACAGAGTGAGATTCTGTCTCAAAACAAACAAACAAAAAAGAAAGGAATGAGGTAAAGAGCATGCTAAAGGAGCACCTCCTATCCTAGCTATCCCAGCTGCCACAGTGGGCTCCTGCAACCCAAGCCAGGCCATTTCCCCTGCATGAAACCCTGTACTGCTTCCCATTTCTCTGAGTAAGAGCCAAGCCCCATGCAAAGCCTGGAGGCAGAGGACAGGCTGGTCACAGGCCGTGCAGTGGAGGGAATGGAGCTCACAGGCCAAATGGAGAGGCCTGTGCCGCTGGAGCACAAGTGAGGGGGACTGGTGGGGAGTGACAAGACTTGAGAGCATGAGACCCCCAGGTGATCCTGACTGGGTGGGTCCCCTCTGATGTGTCCCCCAACCCCTGGAACTCTCCCCCAACTCTGTGGCAACAATCTGATCCCCCATGTTGCCCTCCCCATGCTCCAGCCTGGGAAGGCACAGTTCCGAGCAACAAATGGCAGAGAATGTTTCCAAGAACTACTGGGTGGTAAACGGCCCACTACAGCACCTGTCAGGTTGATGAAGTCGGATCTCTGCCCCTGGAGAGGATAAGATGGGGGTACCCTAGGGTCTGTCAGGCCCCCCACAATTTGCTCACTACGCTCTAGTCCTTTCCTTTTGTCCCGCCTCACTTCTCCAAGAGTCAACTCCATGGGTTGAGAACAGCACCTGCATAAAGCTCCTTGCCCCAGGGTGGACCTATGCTAACAGTCCCAGCCAGTGAGACAAAGACAGAAGCATGTGCCTGGCTGAGGGCAGCAGAGTTTGCCACCCAAGGCTCACCCCAGGACCCAGGAGCCAGCTGGGCTCTCTAAGCCTCGTGTCCTCATTATGGCATGAGCAATAGATACCCCATCCTGTACAAAGGGTGCAGGTGTAACTTGAGCAGGGCAGTCAGCCAACAGTAGGGCCCTGATCTGAGGAAGCAAACTCCTATGCCCAGCTCCAGGATCCAGGAAGGTTCCAGGATCCAGCCCATTCCTCCAGAACTGTCCATCAGAGTGTGGACTAGGCTGGCGGGGAAATGACTGAGGTCCTGGGCAAAATTTCCTCATCTGTAAGATGGGAATACCCAAACTGAAACCGACTTCAGTTTGGGCCATCTTATAGGAGATGTGTGTTTTGTGTGTTTGTGAAGCTGGAAAGTATCCCACAAATATGATCAACTATTCTAATGACAAAATGATCTGCCCACCTTGGCCTCCCGAAGTGCTGGGATTACAAGTATGAGGCACTGTACCCGGCCATTCTCCCTTTCTTGCCTACTGGTGGAAGCCCCATTTTTAGATGGACACATGGCTGCCCAAAATAAAGATCGTATTTCCCAGCCTCCCTTGCCACTGCGTATGGTTATGTGACTGAGTTCTGACCAATAGGATGGAAGCAGAGGGTCATAAGGCAGTATCCTCTAAGGATGGACGCCATGAGACTGTCCCTTTTCTTCTTCCAACTTCCTGCTGGCTAGAAGGTAGGCATTTTGGCAGAGGCTATGCATCGTCTTGCACTATGAGTGGTAAGTAAGCAGATACTGAGAACAGTCAAGCAACAAGGTGGAGCCTAGGTCCACTGTAACAGTCCCAGACTGCCCACCTCTGGATGTTTTTAGGTGAGGAATAAACCACCATTATTTTGAGGTTTCCACCACTTGTGGTCAGGTAACCCTCACTAATATGAAAATCTCCATCACAGAGCTCTCTGGCTACCCCTGGCAGCCTTGGCTCTGGATCCAGAAGTAAGTAGGAAGCATGAGATGGGGCAGCTTCAGCATGCGGTTGGCCATTCTGCCATTTCACCAGGGCAGGGAGAGCCAAAAGTGGGAGTCAGGAGGGTTTCTCCTGGCTTGGTCCTCATGCTTTTTGGAGTCTTGGGCTGTTTCTGAGCAGGAATGTGGTCATTTAAGAGTGTTCTGGCTAACTCAAGATGAGGATAATACAGCAGCCCATTCATTAGGCTGGTAAGGACCCAGAGGGCTCACTTGAATAGAGACCCGGCCTGAGGGTTGCCTAGCAGCCCCCACTTCCCACTAACAGGCTTGCACCACCTCCCCACCAGCCAGCCCTACTCACGCCTGTAATCTTCTTCTTGCACTTGGCGCAGCTGGGTGCGTAGCGCACGTCATAGCACGGTGGGCAGAAGATGGAGCCCTTCTCCTCGAAGAAGCCCCCCTCTTCCAGGACCTTCCCACACTGGCTACACACAAACTCCTCGGGGTGGTATGCATGACCCAGCGCCACCAGGTAGCGGCCCCTGCAGGAAGGTGAAGGCAGTGAGGACTGTATGCAGAGGAGGTGGGGGTCTGGCCCTCCTCGGGTTGACTGACCCCCCCCACTGGGAAGCCTTGGGAGGGAGAGTTTATTCTCCCCATTATCCACAGAGGGTAGAGTGATTGTGACAGCCATGAAGCTGGCGGGGCTGGGGAAAGCGGCCCTAAAGGGGTACCCAGGGACCCCAAAGGACACTGAACTGCTGGTGACAGGAGAGGCAGTTTCAGAGCAGGGAGGACCCCAGGAGGGAGGGCTGATGACTGGCGCCTCATGAAAGCTGAGGACCCCTGGGCAGACCCTGGAGCCACCCTGCTCTGCTGGCCTGTTCTACCTGGCAAGAGCTAATAGAGTTGGCTGCCGGCACAGTGGCTCACACCTGTAATCCTAGCCCTTTGGGAGGCTGAGGCAGGCCTGAGATCACCTGAGGTCAGGAGTTCGAGACCAGCCTGGCCAACATGGTAAAACGCCGTCTCCACTAAAAATATAAAAATTAGCCAGGCATGGTGATCCCAGCTACTTGGAAGGCTGAGGCAGGAGAACTGCATGTACCGGGGAGGCCGAGGTTGCAGTGAGCCAACATTGCACCACTGCACTCCAACCTGGGCGACAGAGCAAAACTCCATCTCAAAAAAAAAAAAAGAAAAAAGAAAAACAAAAAACAAAAAGAGCTGACAAAGAGTCAAGAGCAGGTCAGTGCTGAGGACTAAGGTGGTGCTAGAATCCAGCACACTGATGCTGGGGGGTGTTTGATGCTGCTTGGCCCCACCGGGAAGTACACAGAGGGAGGAGCTCAGGCCTGCGTGTTCTGAGAGCAGAGGGAGACAGAGAGCAGGAGGGAGGAGCAGAGAGGCTGGGAGGGGTCAAGCCCCTCTTTGCCCAGAGAGTAGTAAGGGTAGGGGTGTGGCTTCAGACTATGGTTGGCCCTTCTGCCATTTTGCCAGGGCAGACTCTGCTAGTAGTTGAGATAGATGGGTGGGGTGGTATCGTAGGATTAAGAATCTGAGACCCCAGGCCAGGTCCCTACCCCCAACTCCAGCTGGGAACTGAATCCTTATTCTATTCCCCCCAGTTACAGCTGAGGCAAGACGGGTGGGCAGACAAGTGGGGCCGGGCTGCAGGACCGGAAAGCCAGGGTAGGACGGGTATAGGCCACCCACCGGATGACCTTGTGGCACTGGTGACACACAGGAGTCTTGCTGTTGTTGCCACCCCCTCCTGGGCCCGCTCCCGCGGCCGCCTGCACGATGGAGGTGCGGTTCTGCAGTGGGGTGGGCGTGGCCGGCTGGCTGTGCCGGGTCAGCACTGTGCTCGTTTTGTCCGGGGCATAGCGCTCCGCAAATGCAGGGTCCACGGCCCAGGGTGGGCGGCTGGTGGGGCTGGGGGTGGTAGGGCCTGCTGAGGCCGGAAAAAGTGGCTCTAAAGGGGTACCCGGGGACCCCAAAGGACAGGGGGTGGAGCCCCAGGCAGCTTAGAGAAGCCCACTACCCCCATGCCCCTGGCCCCTATCCACCCTTGCCCAGGCCCAAGCCCACTCCCTCTCACCAGGCCAGGGCTCCTGGGGTGAAGATGAGGCTGGGGCTGGGGCTTCTGTCCTGGGCACCTGGCTGTAAGATCTACCATTCAAGGCTCTGCCTGGCTGAGGGTCCTGGCATGGCCCTACCCCCCAACCTGGGTCCTGCTGGTCCCATGTGAGATGCCTGGGGGCATGAAAACTGCTGAGATGGACTCTGGGTCCCACTGAAGGGCAGCTTCTCCTAGCAACATCCAAGTAGCTGGACCCCAGTTAGTCCAATTAGCTGGGAGATGGAGCAGGACTCCTGCTTCTGAGGCAGCTCATGGGGCTCCCCTTATGCCAGGAAGCCATCTCAGATGGCAGGGCAGGGCCCCTTTGCCAGGTACCCCCCCCCGCCACTGAAGACAAAAATGGCAGGGCCCAAACTGAGTCTGAACCATGAAACACCCCCACACCCCAAATGCAAACCAGGTCCACAAAGATAGAAGACAAAGGCAGAGCAAGCAGGACTGAGAATGTTTATTTCCATGCCCAAAGTAGCACAGACCTGGCAGACAGCAGTACCATAGGGCAAAGAGGGAAGGCAGTGTCAGATGAAGCCAGGCTCTGCACCAGGTGGGTGGCCAGAGCCAGGCCAGCAGGAGACTCAGGCCAGGGGCAGGAAGCGGGGGTGAGGTAGGCAGAAGCTGGAGACACTAAGGGGGTGCCCTGGGCAGGAGGAACAGAAAGAGGGAGGCAGAGAGGGCAGCCGGCTGGAGAGGGCCGGGCTACGACTGCACGTTGAGCGCGTGGGCAGAGCGCTGGTGGTGCCAGTCTCGGAGGCGGGTGTAGCGTGGGCTCTGCAGCTCCAGGACATACTTTTCCCTGAGGGGCAGAGAGAGAAGGAGGAAGAAGTGGAAGGAAGGAGAGATGGAAGGGACATAGGGAGGGAGGAGGGTAGGAAGGAATGAGGGAAGGAAGGAGCAAGGGAAGGGAGGAAAGAAGGAAGGAAAGAAGGAAGAGGAGGAGGAGGGAGCGAAGGAAGGAAGGAGAATGGAAAGCCCCAGCTGGGAGCCTCAGGAGTAGACATAGGGCAGTAGCTGGAATGGAAGAGGCAGGAGGTGGGAGAAGGGCTAGTGCCCATTCTTGTACCTTGATTTCTTCAGGTGCTCCTCATCCGGGTCTTGCACTGAGAGGGCAGAGACAGGCATTGACCAAGAGAGACAGAAGGTCAGGGTTCACGCCTGGGCTGGAGGCCAGGAGAGTCCACCCTGCCTAGGCTGGCACTTACTGAACTCGGTGCCTGTGAGGTGGGCAAGGATGCGGAAGGAACGCGACTGGCCTGTCCCAGGCCGTGGCCGCCAGTCCTCGGTGTTCTCCATCAGCCGCTGCTTGCTGGCATCTGGGACCAGCGGTCGGAGCGGCTGTCTGTGGGGAGGGTGCGGCTCAGAACCCCATGCTGGGGGTGGGCAGTGGGGGCAGCCCCTCCCAGGATTTGGTGCATGTGGGTTACAGTGATGGGAGGGAGTGGGTAAGGGCAAGGCCAGAAGCCCTGCTAGGCGGGTGGATGAGAGGACAGGAGGGCAAAGTGGAGAGGAGGGCAGCCAGGGTGGGGAGGGGCCACCGCCCAGAGTGCCAAAAGGAAGAAGAGAGGGACAGGCAGAGGGGGCTCACTGACTTGTCAGGGGTCTGCACCTGTGAAGGAAATAGACAGATAGAGAGATAAAGGGACAAAGGGACAGACACAGGAGAGGAAGAAAGATGGGGAGGGGTCAGGGCAGCCGGGGACCAGGCAGCACTGAGTGTCTAGGGCTCAACTGGCCCAACACCATGACCCAACCCCAAGCCGCCAGCAGGGGGTGCGACCTCATTCAGAGACCCCTCCCCAGGGCAGTGCCCTGCAGGGTGCCACAGCCTTGGGAGGGGCCCTGTGCCTGCAGTCCCACCCCGGCCGCCAGGGGTTGCTGCCGCACGGTTCCGCCGGGCTGGGGCACAGCACAGACTGAGCAGCAGCGGGCAGCGGGCAAAGGGCGTGGGGCCACAAGGGGCCTGATGGCATGGGCACGGGCACGGGCGGGCCGGGGCTGACATACCCATTCTGCTGCGGGGCGTTGTCAGCGGGCGGGGGCGCCCCGAAGGGCCGGGCCGTCTTGTTGAGGGAGACGCTGGGTGCAAAGGTGTACCGCGGGGGGTCCGCGGCAGGGGCCGGGGCCTGAGCAGAGACAGAGCCGGGCAGGGCAGGCGGGCAGGGACTTGGGTGGGAGTGGGGCGCCCGCACCAGAAGACAGTGGCAGCTCCAGCCCCCCACACCCCCCACATCTTGCAGGAGACTAGGGGGAGACGACAACTCAGGTTTCAAGGGGCCCATTCAGGAGTGGTGATTTCAGTCCACGCAGGACCGAGGGCTGACCAAGTGCGGGCGAACACGCAGCACCGGCGGCGGGAGGCAGGCAGGCGGACAGACAGGCAAACATGCGTGGTGCCCAGACCGTGCGGCAGCCCCTGGCTCAACTCCAGGGCCCTAGACCCACCCTAGCTCCAGTTTCTGCCCTCTACTTCTGACCAGGGATTGGGGTACCGAGGCTGTGCCAGGAGGGCGAGCAGGTCTGGCTGTCCAAGCCCAACCCGCCCGCTGCCCAGATGTCCCGGCCCGCCTCGTACCTTCTGGGGTTTGCTCTGAACCGGTTGGGCCCTGAAGGAAAAGGAAAGTGTGACAGCGTGGGCCCATGAGAATCCCCATTGCTAGCGACTGTGCACCCATCCACACCAACGCGCATACCTGCTGAGGCCCAGGCTGAGGCGTTCCCCACAGGCCCGGATCTTGTTCTGAGCTTCGATGTGTGTGAGGCTCCCTGCATTCTCGCCATCGATGCTCAGCACCCAGTCACCAACGGCCACTCCAGCCTGTGCTGCTTTGCCTCCAGGAGTGAGCTACAGAGAAAAGCACAGTGACCGAGGTCCTTAGACTCTGCAGACCCAAGCCAGGTGGTAATGCTGCCCCACTTCTAGAGGCCAGAGAGCTCTTCATTCAACATAGTTCTAGGCAGCTGCTGGACACTAAAGCAGCCAGGAGGTGGTGGCGCTCACCTGAGCTTCACAATTTCCCATCACACTGCTGATTTATTTACTCTGCACCACGACCCTACCCCACAGTCCAGAAATTCTATGATACCCACAAACAGCCATGCTCAGGCCCATGTGTTTCAGGAGGACCACCTGCCTTTTGAAGCACCTGCTGGCTGCCTGCCCAGGGCTGCTATACTACCAGATATGCCCTCTGGCCCATGCAAGGGGCAGCTTCTTCCCTGCTACCGCTGGGGGCTCTTATGGATCTCTTACCCTCCAGCACCCTATCTGGGGGCCATCTGCAGGGGTCCGCTGGGACACTTTGAGAGCCAGGAACAGGCCCTGTTATCTCCAGGTTCCCCATGAACACTGCCTGAATGGGGCCTAAGGTGACAGCTGGGGCTTCATAGGCCATACATGAGTGTCACTCCCAAGCCTTCAACTGCCAACTCCCCTGACTCCAATCCTTCAGGCTCTGAGCTGGGAGTCCCTGGTTCCAGTGGCAACAAGGGGTGACAATAGGCTGCGAGAAATGGCTGCCACCAGCATGAACTAAGACCATCAGGAATGACTTCAGGGAAGCTAAGAGAGCTCGGTGGCCCCTTCCTCACTCGCTAAATAAGAACACCTCCTTCAGTTTACTGAGCACCAAGTATGCTACACATTGCTGCATCTTCCAACAACCCTGTGGAGTAATCTGAGATTTTACCCATTTTGCACTTGAAAGTGTACACAGAGAGGTTAAACAACTTGACTCAAGTCACCCAGCAAGAGGCAGGGCCAGGAAGTGACCCTGACCCTAAGACTCCACCACTGCAGGCCACCTTTGCTGAGCATGGGGGCCCAACTGAGGGGTCAGCCCACCTCGAGACGCCCTGAGCTTCCCCCTCACATTTAATTCAAGCCAACTAAATCAACCCTTTAAACTGTGCGTGGGGAAGTGACACCCCAGAGGGGAAATGACTTACTCAAGGCCATGGTGAGTCAGTACAAGGGAAACCTGGCCCAGCCACTACCTGCCCACAAGGGCTGGCTCCTGGGAGGTGTGGGCTGAGTCCGAGGTGGGGGTCTTGGGGTGCACAGGAGCAGCTGGCTCCCGGAGAGAGGGTGGGGGATGGGGACGGCTTCCCTTTCCAGAAAAGGGCAGGAAGCACAGAGGGTGAAGGGAGTGGTCAGAGTGTGGGGAGGGCAGCAGGAGAGAAGGCAGCGATGGGTGGGCAGCTGGAGAGAGGCAGGGAGGGGCTCAGGCCAGGGGCAGGGTGAGGCCAGAAGAACCAAGGAGGGAAAAAGCCAGGGGGCTGGACCCTGCATGTGGTGGGGGTGAGTCAGGCTGAGCAGCCCAACCCCCCAGACCCAGACGTTACCTCATCTCCCAAGCCTGGGCCCACGGCCAGCCCTCACCCCTCCCGCCTCCCTCCATTCTGGGGTCAGGGAGGGAGCCGGCCTAACTCAGAAAAGCCCACCTTACCCACCCGTGTGGGCCCAGGTCCAACTCCAGGCCTGGGCTCAGCTGGTGGCCCAGCCCACATGCCCAGGCTACTGACAAGGGACCTAGCCCAGAGTGCCCCCAGCAGGCCAGATCTGAAAGTCATCTCCATCCGGAAAGAAACTGAGGCTCAGGCACCCCAGATACACGGGGCAGCACTTTCCCAGGGAGTGGAACATCGGGAGGTTTTCAGGGCTGTGTGAGGACTGTGTAAGGGGGTGTGTGGTAGGGCGACCACTGTCCTCACTACCCTGCTGGTGAAGCAGGTTCCAGAACCCCATGAAAGGACCCCTGGGAAGGGCACTGCCAGCCTGCCTATCTACCCTGACCCCCATGCCCAACTCCTACAGACAGACTCCACCTTGAGCCCCTCCAAAGGCCAGGCAGTGCCTGGACAATCCTCTGGCCCCCTCCAGGCTGGGCTTACCCTGGGCTTCCTGCCATTAGCTGCCTGCCCACTGGGTGCCTGGGTGGGTCTCTCTGGGCAGGCGGATATAGGGGCAGGAAGTCCCCACCCCTGCCTGACCCCCAGCCCATGGGCTGGCCTCACCCACTCTGGGCAGGCAATTTGCTGTGTCTCACTACTGGACCATACAGCTGGAGCTGCAGCCTCCTGCCCTGCTGAGGGGCCCACCGGTGGGGTTCAGGGAGCCAGGCCTAGGTCAGCCCTTTTCAGCTCTGCAGACTGTAGCCACTGTTGGCCATCCCAGCATGGGGCTGCATTCTTGGGCTTATAAGGCAATCCCCCTACTACAGGGAGGAGCCAGCTTCCAGCTCCACCCCCACCAGGGCAGGCTCTTGGGAACCAAAGTTAAGCCCCTAGAGCTGAGCCCTGTCCTACACTTCTGCTTGGGGTCAAAGGCCACCACATCCTGAATGAGAACGGTGGATGCAGGTCCTTACATAGGCTGGGGAGGGACCCGTTCTCTTACCCACAAAAAAATGCACCCCATCCTGTGCCTCAGTTCCAATCCCTGCTTTACCATGGACTCAATGATTGAGCCCCTCCACCTCTCCATGATTTCCTCCTCTCATCTAGAAAAACAGGATGACTGCTATTCTCTGGGTGGCAGTGAGTTTGAAGTGAAATCCTATAGTCAGAGTGCCCTACCTGTGGCCTGGCTCCCCTCTCAAGTTTAGATACCTCCTGGAGATGTCAGGCTCCCATCCTGCACAATGAGCCTCCCTCCAGCCCTCTGAGGTGGCCACAGGAGTTTGGGAGAACAGCTTCAGGTACAGAGCAGGACTGGGGAAGCTGGACTGCTTCTCTCCCAGTGTCCACGTCATTGGGAGTCCTTGTGGCCGGCAGGTACCACCACATCTCTGGACCTGAACATCTCCTGGCCTGCTGGCCCCTAACTATCTCCTGTTAGGACTCCCCCCATCACCCTCTGGAAACCTGAGCACCCAAAGACTGCTGGGGGAGCCCCTCCCCAAACCTAGGCTCACCCGGGAAATGGAGAGGGGCATATTGAAGTCCTTGCCCCCTTGCAGCCGGAAGCCCCAAGGTGCTGGTCCCTCCAGCACTACCTTGAAGGAATCCATGATGCCGGCTTCTGAGAGGAAAGAAGAGAAGGTGTTACCAGCATGGTGGGTGCGCAGGCAGGACGGCCCAGCTCAGGATACCAGCCCTGGACAGGGGCCAGGCAGGCACGGGCAGCGGTGAGCACACCCAAGGTATAGTAGGCAGGTATTTTGTCAGGCTGGGCTGTGCTGCTGGCTGGCGTACCTCAATTTGGAAAGAGGAGCAGCCTCTGTCCCCTAGGGACTGGAACGGTGAGTGATGCCTAAATACAGGCTCGAGGTTCTTTTCAACCAGGGGTGGGCCAAGGGACTAAACTGGTGTGGCCTCCCCCAAGGCAGCCAGCCTGGAGCCTCGGGTGGCCGGGTGAGTCAGGGGCCGGCTCTCCTCTCCCCCGCCCCCAGGTCCCGGCAGGCAGGCCGCGACTGGAGCCTGCTCGGACTATATAAGGCATGTAAGCTGACACTGTGCGAAGAGCCAGCGGAGGGAGCACACGGGGGCTTGGGACGCGAGGGGGAGGGGAGGGAGGCGGCTGGAGCGGATCCTAGCCATTCCGGGACCAGTGGAGGCTGCTGGGAGCCAGGGCGGGACCCCTGGGTGCTGAAGAAGGGGGAAGGCGAGAGTGGGGTGTGGCCCCTGTGGAAACAGGTTGGGGCCAGGACCCTAAACCACAGCTTGGAGGGGAATCCTTCCCGGAGCCCAGTGGAGGTGGTGCCTCCCACACAGAAGTGCTCCCACACCGAAGTGACTCAGTTTCCCCCTAGTCCCCCGCCCGAGCCCCATGCATTGGACTGGCCCCGGCCGCAGGAAGCAGCGCAGGCGCCAATCGGCTCCGCCGCAGCCGGCTTCGCGGCAGGAAGGCGGGGGCGGGGGCGGAGGCAGGGGGCAGAGCCCGCGGGAGGAAGCACAACCTGGATCACGACCCCCAGAGCCCTTGTCCTCAGCACGCCCCGGGCGCCCGCCTGGTCCAGCCCAAGACGTCCCGCGCGGTCATCGATACCTGCTTGGCCCCGCCGGGGCGCTGCTCGCTGTCAGGCTCCAGGGAGCCGCGTTGAGATCCGCCGCCAGCGATCTGACCCCGCCCCCGCAGCCGCCCTCCGTTTTGAGGGCGCGGGAGGGGGCGGGGAAGCAGATCACGCCCTCACATGGCCACGCCCACCAGCCGTCCTCCGCTGGTGGAAAGTCCCACCCAGATCTTCAGCCCCGCCCAATCACGAAGTCCCCTCGGGCTTCGGGCTGCGAGGCCTCGCCGACCCGGTCCGGGCAGTGGGGCGGAGCCGCGGCGGGCGGGGCGGAGCCGGGGCGGGAGGGGCGGGGTTGCGGGTCACTTCTTTAGGAAGGCGCTGCCTCGCCCAGTCCCTCGCACCACCCGCTGGCGGAGGGAAAGGAAAACGGCCCTTCCTACCGGACGGACCTGGGACCTTGTCTCTAAACTTTCGTTTCCTACTCAGAAAAATGGGGCGATCACACTCGCTTCGCAGGGCCGCCACGAGGGTCGGTATCCTAGCACAACCGTCGGGGGCTCAGAATTTCTAAATCAGGGGCTGGAGGAGACAAGTCGAGGTGGGAAAGTTGAGGCCTACAGGGGCGTTTAAAGCTAGATTTGCGCAACGCTGTACCGAAGGCAGGAAAACAGGGCCGGAGCGGACGCCAGTGGCCCCTGGCCTGTGGGCCCTGCCCTCGCTCGCAGCCCCGCAGCCCTGACCCGGCCCGCGCCCCGTCGGAAGCGCCGCGTCCCCCTCCACCCCGGCCAGAATGGGCTGCGCCTCGGGGAGGGCGTCCTTAGAGTCCCGGCCCCGCGATCAGCCGGGCACTATGGCCGGCGGCGCAGACACTGAGTGCAAGTGGGTTTCGGGGTGAGGGAAGGGGCATCCACCTTCCACTCGCTTGGTGGTCCCGGTCCGTCAGCTCCTCCTAGGACATGGTCGCTGCAGTTCTCCCCTCTCCATCCACTGTCATCACACCCGCCCTCTTCTGCACAAACCGCCGTGAGAGTTCTCATTGTTAAAGACCTTCTCTTGACCCCGGATTCCTCTCCAGCTACTACCCTTTAATTCTCTTGAGAGTAAAATTCCTCCAGGGAGTTGTCTGTTTATCGCGTCTCCACTTGCTTTCCTTCGGTTATCTCTTGAAGCCATGCCAGTCAGACTTTTGTGAGCACCAGTCCCCTGAGATCTCTCTTCTCAAGGTCCCCAGTGGCGTGGAGGCCATCGGGCCATGGAATCCATGGTAGTTCAGTTTCATCCTGCCCTGCCTAGGGGCAGCACTGGTCCAGGTTGATCCTATTCCCGGAAACACCCTTTTCCCCTGGCTTCACAGCTTTTCCCTGCCCCACTGGCCTCTCCTTCCCATCCTCCTCCAGGGTCTCCTCCTCTGCCTCTGGCCTTGGCCGTCTGATGTAGAGCCTCTCTTTATGCTCACCCCCTAAGACCCTATGCAGTCCTGTGGCTTTCAATACCATCTATATGCCAAGGCATCCCACGTTTCATGGCCAGCCTGACCTCTCCCCAAGAACTCCAGACTCAACTATCCAAAAGCCTGGCTAGATGTTTACTAGATCAGCAGAAGGTGAGCAGCGGCAAGCCAGAGAAGCTGAGTTTAGGGGCAGCATTAGATTCCCATAGGAGTGTGAAGCCTACTATGAACTGTGCATGCGAGGGATCTAGATTTCTCATTTTTTCTGAGAATCTAATGATAATGGGTCAGGTGCGGTGGCTCATGCCTGTAATCCCAGCACTTTGGGCGTCTGAGGTGGGTGGATCACTTGAGGTCAGGAGTTCAAGATCAGCCTGGCCAACATGGTGAAATTCTGTCTCAGCTGGGCATGGTGGTGCATGCCTGTAGTCCCAGCTACTTGGAAAGCTGAGGCTGGAGAATCGCTTGAACCCGGGAGGCGGAGGTTGTAGCAAGCCAACATGGTGCAACTGCACTCCAGACTGGGCAACAGAGTGAGACTCTGTCTCCAAAAAAAAGACTCTAATGGTAAATGTCATGCACTTCAACCATCTGAAATCATGCCCACCCCACCCCCAGTCCGTGGAAAAATTGTCTTCCATGAAACCAGTCCCTCCATCCAAAAAAGTTGGGGAACCACTGTACTAGTTATCTCAGACCATCATGGTCCAATTCAAACTTGTGCCTTTTCCACCTCCCTAAGTCCTTCCTCACTTCAAGAAGTGCCACCAATATTCATCCAACTGGTTCAGCAGAAACGAAGTTATCCTTCCTTTCTCTTTTCTCTGTCCTCCCCTAGATTCTACAAATTCTGCCTTCAACATGTTTCATAACTAACCACTGCTGCCACCATTGTCCTAGCCACTGCCATCTTGTGTCTGTGCCCCTGTGACAGTTTCCTAACAGGCATCCCTGCTTTCACCCTTGCCCCCTCCAGAGTCTTCATGGAGCAGCCAAAGTGATATTTTTAAAGCTAAAATCACACCACCATGTCACTCTCAGCTTTTAGCATTGGGCTCATATTGCACTCAAAACTAAAGTCCTTAAGACCCATAGAACATGAATAAACTGGGTCTGATCCTTACCACTTGCTCCCTCCACTCCAGCCACCCTGACCTCCCCACTCACAGTTCCTCTAGGAAGCCAAACATATTCCTGCCTCAGGGCCTCTCCACTTTCCAGTTCCTCTGGTTGAAACACTTTTCTTTTTTTTTGAGACAGAGTCTCGCTTTGTCACCAAGACTGGAGTGCAGTGGTGCAAGCTCTGCTCACTGCAACCTCTGCCTCCCGAGTTCAAGCGATTCTCCTGCCTCAGCCTCCCAAGTAGCTAGGATTACAGGCATGTGCCACCACAGCCAACTAATTTTGTATTTTTAGTAGGGTTTCATCATGTTGACCAGGATGGTCTTGAACTCCTGACCTTGGGTGATCCACCTGCCTCGGCCTCCCAAAGTGCTGAGATTACAGGCATGAGCCACCGTGCCTGGCCCTTGAAACACTTTTCTCCTGGCATCTCAGCAACAGGCTTCTGACTTTATTTAGGTCTCTCTCTGCTCACATGTAACCTTCTCCAAGGGCCTTCCCTGATCACATCTAATACAGCAATCCCCTGATGCCTCATCTGCATCACACTCTCTGCTTTATTTTTTCCCCATAGCACTCTCCACCATCTGACATTCTGTGTTAAGTATTTAGGAATCCCACGGCACCCGAGACATCTGGAAGTGGAAAAGGCATCTCCAGATTCCATGTGTGGAGGGAGATTGGAGGAATGGGGACTCTCCGTGGTGCTCTTTCCAGGGTGTGTTCTTTGTTAGGACAATGAAGACACAGCTTGTGTGTCTTGTCCAGCATTTCCCTGGGGCCTGCACACAGTGGATGTGAATGAACACACGTAGAAAGGAAGGACTGATAAAGTGAAACAGCAAATGGGCAAAGGAAGAGGCAGCAGCCTGGGAGTCCTGACAATCCCCCAGCAGAGAGGACCCTGGGCTCCCATTCCTTGGACTGGTGCAAGGCTCTGGTTTGTATGGGGCCCAGGGAGCCTCCCAGCACAGGCAGCCCCTGGGTAGCAACAGGATCTGGATTGGGAGACGGCGCCCCCTGGTGGCTAAGACACCTGCGGCTCCAGGCCCAGGCCCCTAGAGTCCTGGTGGTTTCCAAGGTCTGTCTTTCCCACAGTCTGGTTGGAACATCACAGAAATCCCTATGAAACAAAGAAGTTCAGATTTGTAATAAAGGAAAGGATGCCATGTGGGGTACCGAGTCCTGGGCTCCATTTCTGGCCATGCTCTTGATTCTGGGTGACCTTCAGTGTGTCCTGGGATTTGTTGAGCTGCCCAGGCCGGGCTTAGGCTTGCCACTGTAGGGAGGAGGGGTGCCTGCTGCAGCACCCCAGCTGCCTGCCTCTTGGCCTCAGCTTGCTGTAAGACTTTACTCATCCGGAAGTGCTTGCCTGAGTGAGCTGAAATCTTCCTCCCCATGGCTCTAGCATCCTTCCAGGCTTTGCCCGTGTCCACACATACCCTGGAAGGCATCAGAATCTCCACTTCCCCAACCCCCTTTCACACATGGGATCTGGAGATGCCTTTTCCACATCCAGATGTCTCATGCGCAGTGGGATTCCTAAATCTGGAGCTCAGGGGGAGGTCTGCACTGAAGATAGACCTTCAGAGTCCACCATCCACCTGGAGACTGACTGGCTGGCTGAGGCCAGTGGTTCCCAACCTGGGCTGTGTACTACAGTCATCTGGAAATCTAACGAAGATTGATGCCCAGACCCCTTACCCAGATTGACGAAATCAGAGCCCCTGCGTGTGGGCCCAGGAATGGGCATTTGATTTTTAAAAAATCTTTTATTCTCTTGGTAGGTCACTCACAGGACATGTGTGGACATTTTTAAGGACTTTCAGGGGATTCTTTATGTATCCAGGGTTGAGCTACACTGTATCGAGCCTAGAGCCCTGGGAAGAACTCAAAAAAGACGGCAATAGAGGCTGGGAAGGGGAGAGCTGTGAGGTGGGAGGAAAACCAGGCAGTGGGGTGTTTCTGGAACCAGAGCTGAACGCTGTTGAGAAGTTGGAGGCCTTGTTGCTTTTGGAGAATAAAGTTGGTGACTCAAATAAGAGCCACATAATAGCATCGTGGGGATGAAGGAGAGTTAATTAAGGGGAGAATGTGGGTGAGAAAGTGGAAATGAAAGTAATAAACTCTTTTGAAGAGTTTCTGCTGTGAAGAGGAACAGAGAAACAGGGAGGTGGCTGAAGGGGAATGTGAGGTCAAGGGAAGGTTTAAGATGGGAAATTACAGAGAATGTTCGTGTGTGGCTGGAAGAGCTGCTGCTGATAGGATGAATGGGTCCAGGAGACAGCAGGGACAGCGCAGTTTTCCAAACTCTGAGGTGAGAGGAGCTGGGATCAGAGTATATGCTGGAGACAGACATTTCTTCTATTGTAGGGGCAGGAAGGAGAAGACGGATGGATGCTGGAACAATTGCAAACGCAGTCAAGAGACTGACCTGTTTCCCCAACATGCCTGTGAGGAGACACTTGGTGGAGACAGAGAGGAGGTTCTGGGGAGGAGAAAAGCTGCCCCTCTAGGGAGCAGGGTATTGGTGGTAGGGAGCACCTACCTTGCATTGTTAAAGAGGATGCAGGCAGCCTGCTTAAATGGATTTCTCTGGCTGTGGGCAGCTGTGTGCAGGCACAGAGGAGGTCTGGGTTCACCCAAAGACCGGGGCTTTGCCAGACCAATAGGATGAAAGGAGAAAGGAGAGCGGGGAAAGGACTCCATGGTGGACACAGAAGCTACGTGGAACAAAGAGAGGACGGTGGGCAGAGGCCTCAGAGAGCCAGAAAAGGGTCCCTGCAGGTCGACACGCTGAGCAGGGGTGGTATTGGCTGTGCTAGAGGAAGTGAGCTGGAAGGAGGTGGCCAGAGGATGGGGCTTGGACAAGAGAGAGCAAAAACGGTGTGTCCGTCGTGAAGATGAGGTCCAGGATGTGCCAAGGATGTGGGCAAATGAGGTGGCGTTGTGGTGAGGGCCAAGAAGCCAGACCCCTGGAGGTGTGATGCTTATGAGCATGGCTGGCTCCTAGGATGGCAACAGGAGCAGAGGAGGGAACGCAGCATTCAGTCTTCAGGAAACTTCTCTCCCCCTGGAATGCTGGCTCCTGGAGAACAGGACCGAAGCTGTCCTGAACACGGTCGTGTCCCCCAGTGCCTGGCACTGAGTAGGCACGCAGCAAAACTCTCATCAAGGAATATGCCTAATAAGTCATTTGTTCTCTCTCCTCTACAGATGAGGAGACTGAGGCCTGGGGTTCCCAGAAGTTTCTGCAAATGGTTGGAGTTTCAGCAGGGAACAAGCATTTTGGGTGAGTGTGTCTCTGAAATCCTTTTCACCTCCTCCCCACCCCCGTTGGCTCCTCCCCAGCTCTGGCTTCTGGGTCTCCAGTTGGGACCTCATGTTGCTCCTTCCTGAGTCTGACAAGCAAGTCTCACGGTTCTCTCCCTCCACTTGCCTCTGTGCGACTCTGGATGTGCGGGGCTACATGGAGCCCTAATGATCTGCATCTTGTCCATCTGCTGCAGTGGATTTGAGCCCATGGGTGGCAGGTCAGGCCAGGTCACCTGTGTCCCTGGAATCAGCCCAGGGCGCTGGTGTTCACTGCAGTGATCGCGAGTGGGGGTGTGTGCTGTGAGTGCCCCTATTGGGAGCTGCTCTGAGCTTTATTATCTGCAAGTCTGCACACTGTACATACGCAGGGCAGGGCAGGGCTGAGGCCCTCCACATGTGGTCTGCCTTGTCCGTCCAGGCCAGGGTGGACACAGGCGTGTGTCTGCAGGAGCACCCTGTTTGCCCATAGCCCATCCTCCTGTCCCAGGGGGAGCACCTCTCCCCTCTGGCCACCACTCTGCTGGGCATTCAGGGCCGGTCACAGGGGGCAGGGCCCTTCCTCCGCTCGCGACTCAGCAGTGTCACCAACTTGGCCTTGAAGCCTGCCTGAGAACCAGGGCTGCCTGTGCCCCCTGCCTCATCCAGCTCCAGCTCCAGCAGCCGCCGGTACTGGGCCTCCAGGGTGCTGTCGTGGCTGGGGCCAGGCCAGCTCAAGTCCTCGCCGTTGTGGTAGATGGGGCTGGCTGTGGGGCTGCGGCCGCCTGGGCCCTCATGGGGCTCAGGTTCCCCGCCACGCAGCGTGGGGCTGGCCTCCAGCACACACAGGTTCTCGTAGAGGTGCTCGGTGCCTGGGGGCCCACTGGCACGCTTGCACACCGAGGCGTAGAGCCCGGACACCGGATCACTGGGCTCTGGTCCTAGCAGTAGCGGCAGGCTCTGGGGCCCAGGCTCGGCCAGGCGCACCCTCCTGGAGGTGGGTGGCTCGGGCCCTGGTGGCATCTCCTGCAGCTCTCCAGGGGCATCCAGGGAGGGAAGAGAGGTGGCCCGTGGCAGGGGGCAGGGCTGGGACCTGGCCAGCTCTGGCAGCCGCTCCCGCTGGCGGGCGATGGCCCCGGCCACGGCCCCACACAGGTCAGGGGCACAGGGGCTGCTGAAGGCGAAGAGGCCCTCACCCGAGTCGCAGCGACGGCCAGCCTCGAAGGAGAACACACCCTGGGCACAGGCAACATGGGTGGGGATTAGCAGGAGGGTCCAGGGTGTCAGCCCCCTACCTTTCTCACCCTTGCACCTCACCTTGTCACAGCCAAACTTGCGCAGGAAGTGGTAGGGCCAGCTATAGAGGGCCTGGGCGCCCTTGGCCTCCCTCAGCTGGATGGCATCTGGGCCCAGCACCAGCAGGGCTGGCCCCTTCAGCTGGCAGCGGGCAGCAGCCTCGGTCCTCTGCACCACCACGGGAAACTCGCCCACTGTAGCAAGTGGCCAGGACAGCCCCGTCAGTCCCCCAAGACCCAGCCCTGGGTGTAGGGGGACTAAAGCTGCCTTTGTACCTCCCCTGACTTACCTTCCTGCCAGGAAGAGTAAATGGAGTTTTCCTCCATGGGGACCAGGCCCCTCTTGGGAGACTGGACATCTGTGGATCCTGAGGAGGCCTCCCCTGTGCTCTGGGGAATGAGTTCAAGTCAGAGGTGAGAGCACCCCACTCCCATGCCCTGTCCCCTCCCTTGGGGTCAGTACCCCAGGACTCCACCACAAGCCAGGGCATCCAGGGACCTGGGTTCCAGTTCCAGCTCTGCCTGGCTCGCTGCAAAAGCTAAGGTCCCCTTCTGAGCCTGTTCCCCCACCTGGCTCCCACTGAGAGTGCTGGGCTGGGAAAGAGGTGCTGTGCTTGAGGGTGTCTGAGAGCTGCAGATCACAGGCCACACAAGGTGATGTCCTCTACAGCCCCTCGGCTTGGCTGGGGCCTAGGCCGGCTCCTGTATATCTGACAGCCTACAGCAGTGCAGGCACAGGAGTCTTCGGGCTGAGACACACGTGTGAGCTGGACAGGGAGCAGTGCCCCAGGTGTCTTCCTTCATCTCACCACAACCATCTGCTGCGACCCTTTGAGGTGCCCCCAACCTCTGCCTAAGCTTCATCCCCACACCCAGGCCTTCAGCATGTCCTTGGGGCTCTTTCCCACTCAGCTCCTCTACCAGGACCACCCTGGCCCAGAGCAGCATGGCCAGATCAAATGACACAGCTTCCTCACCTGGCTCCTTGCTCCTGTCAACTGCCTTTTTCTTTTTTTTTTTCTTGAGATGGAGTCTCAGTCTGTTTCCCATACTTGAGTGCAGTGGCACAATCTTGGCTCACTGCAACCTCTGCCTCCCAGGTTTAAATGATTCTCCTGCCTCAGTCTCCCAAGTAGCTGGGATTACAGGTGCCTGCCCACCACACCTGGCTACACTTTTGTATTTTTAGTACTGACAGGGTTTTCCCTTATTGGCCAGGCTGGTCTCAAACTCCTGGCTTCAGGTGATCCACCTGCCTTGGCCTCCCAAAGTGCTGGGATTACAGGCGTGAGTCACCGTGCCCAACCTCAACTGCCTTTTTTTGATTTTTTAAAAATATGATAAAATACAGAGAACATAAAATTTACTGTTTTAACCATCTTACATCTTAAAGTGTATCCCCAGTGCTTTTTAGTGTATTCACAAGGTTGTGTAGCTATTGCCACTGTCTAGTTCCAGATCTTACCACATCACCCCATGTGGAAACCCTGTACCCATGAGCACTCATGCCCCACCTCTCCTTTCCCTAAGGCCCTGGCAACACTCCTCTGATTTCTATCCCTATGGAATTACCTAGTCTGTACATTTCTTTCTTTCTTTTTTGAGACGGAGTCTTGCTCTGTTGCCCAGGCTGGAGTGCAGTCAACCTCTGCCTCCTGGGTTCAAGTGATTCTCCTGCGTCAGCCTCCTGAGCAGCTGGGATTAGAGGCGACTGCCACGATGCCCAGCTAATTTTTGTATTTTAGTAGAGATGGGGTTTTACTATGTTGGCCAGGCTGGTCTCTCAAATTCCTGACCTTGTGATCTGCCCACCTCAGCCTCCCAAAGTGTTGAGATGACAGGCGTGAGCCACCGTACCCAGCCTTTCTTTCTTTCCTTTTTTTTGAGACGGAGTTTCGCTGTTGTTACCCAGACTGGAGTGCAATGGCACGATCTCGGCTCACCGCAACCTCTGCCTTCTGGGTTCAAGCAATTCTCCTGCCTCAGCCTCCTGAGTAGCCGGGACTACAGGTGCGCACCACCATGCCCAGCTAATTTTTGTATTTTTAGTAGAGACAGGGTTTCACCTCGTTGACCAGGATGGTCTCGATCTCTTGACCTCATGATCCACCCGCCTCGGCCTCCCAAAGTGCTGGGATTATAGGCGTGAGCCAACGCACTTGGCCTTCTTTTTTTTTTTTTTTTTTTTTAAGAGACAGTGTTTCACTATGTTGCCCAGGCTGATCTTGAATTCCTAGGCTGAAGCAATCCTCCCACCTTGACCTCCCAAAGTGCTGGGATTACAGGCGTGAGCCACTGTGCCTGGCATTTGTTCGTTTTGTTTGTTTGCTTTTTTTTTTTTTTTTGAGACGGAGTTTCGCTCTTGTTACCCAGGCTGGAGTGCAATGGCGTGATCTGGGCTCACCACAACCTCCGCCTCCTGGGTTCAGGCAATTCTCCTGCCTCAGCCTCCTGAGTAGCTGGGATTACAGGCACGTGCCACCATGCCCAGCTCATTTTTTGTATTTTTAGTAGAGACAGGGTTCCACCATGTTGACCAGGATGGTCTCGATCTCTTGACCTCGTGCTCCACCTGCCTCGGCCTCCCAAAGTGCTGGGATTACAGGCTTGAGCCACCGCGCCTGGCCACATTTGATCGTTTTTATGGCTGAGTAATATTCCATCTTGTGGACAGACCACATTTTGTTTATCCATTTGTCAGCTGTTGGCCATGAGACTGTTTCCACCATCTGGTGGCCGTGAGTAGCGCTGCTATGGACATTCATGTACATGTGGATTTTTTGTCTCCACCATTATGGCTCACTGCAGCCTGGGCCTCAGGGGCTCACGCGATCCTCCTGATTCACATGTGCATGTTTTGTTTGAACACCTGTTCCACTTCTCCTGGACACACACCTAGGAGTAGACCTGTGGGTCACATGGTAACTGTTTAACTCTGAGGAACCGCCAGGCTCACTTCCATTTGACCCATCACAGACCTTGTGGGGCTTTACAAGTGAGTGTGGCTTAAACCTTCCAAAGGCTTCTCTTCTTACTCAGAACAAAACCACGCACGTGGCCCAGGGCATTTCAGCCACTCCCCCAAGCTCCCCAACTTGGGCTCTTCCTGCATTCCTTCCAGCCCCTTCCCTTCCAACCACGTCACCTTTTTTCTGCCCTTGAATACGCCACACTGTCCAGCCTCAGGGCCTCTGCCCATGCTCTCCCTCTGTTTGCAGCTTCCCAGGCCGCCCCTGTCCTCAGACCTTTGCCCAGCAGACTCCTGGCATTCAGGGCTCTCCTCTGAGAGGCCTTCCCTGGTCACCCTGCCTGTCGCTCCCTCACTTTCTCCTGCTTCCCTGGCAGTCCATTTTCTCCATGGCACGCATGGCCCTCCAAGAGTCGTTACAGATTTACTTTTCCCAGGCTTATAGGTGCTTGGTGGAGCTTGCTGGGTGTCAGGATGCGACTGAGCATGGAGGTGAACAAGTAGGGGGCAGGTGCCCCAGCCCAACCACCCCACCTGCCTGCTGCACTCACCGGGAAGGCCAGCTGGCAGATGGGGCCCATCCAGGCCTGGCGGTGCTGAGCAGCTAGTAGGTGGCTTCGCTCAGTGGTGGTGAGCAGGAAGGCACCAGTGTCCCGGGGGCAGCTCTCGCCGTCGGCCGGCAGCACGGACACACAGTCAGCCAGGCGGATGACCCGTCGCTCCCCTCGCCGGCCAGGCGCCGCCGACCTGTCACCCACTGCTCCCAGGCCACCATCCCGGACCTCCCAGCTCTCCAGCCTTGCCACACCTGATGGACCTCCTGCATACAGCAGAGCCCACACCTTCCGCCAGCACTTCTGCGGGAGAGGACGGGGAGGGAGGAGACCTTTGGGTGGCAGATTCTCTATGCCACTTGGCTCAGCACAAGCTGCTCAGCAAACGCTCCCAGCCAGGAGTGCTCTCCAGTTTCTCAGAGCACTAGGGAAGGAGGCCTCGGCTGTGCTTGGGATTGATTAGCCCCGGGTTCAAATTCCAGCCTGCTCTTTCCTAACTGTGACCTCCTCGAGCATCAGTGTTGTCTCTCAAAAGGCCATGAGAACATGAGTTGGGGGTGCTACTGGGTCATGTCTATAAAGAATCCAGTGGCTGGGCCGACCACCAGACACTGCCATTATTATGTTGGTTCCTTCTCACCTCCAAGAAAGGGGCACTTGGGCCACAGGCCAAGGGCTGGGGTGGAAGGGAGGCCTCCACCTCACACTGGTAAGGAAGGAAACATGCAAACAGCTTCAAGCAAAGGAAACCAACAGTTTATCTGCCTGGGCAGCAGCTGCAGCTGAGCTGTGGGGGTGTGGGGGTGTGGGGCTGCTGCCGAGGAGAGGTGACCTCCCTGTCTTCTTGCTCCCAGGACAGTGCTGCTGCACGGAGGGGCTCTACCCTTGGGGCCTCCTGCAGTTCAGCCCCTCGCCCTCCCTAGGGCCCTCGGTGCCAGTATTCTATGTATGGGTCAGAGACCGTGAAGATTTTCCCTGATGGGAGGTTTGTGCCTTCTACCCTCTGCTGCTCCTGCATTTCCCATCTCTCTTGAAGGCAGGGTGTGCTCAGCCCCCGCTGTCTCAGGCCGAGACCCAGGCTCTGTTACACTCCCCATACCTGGGTGGGATCCTCCACCCTGACTCCTTTCCCAAGCCTCCCACCTGGGCTGTCCGACCTGGGAGAGGGTTCTCTGCCCCCTATTGGTCCTTGGCAGCTGCCGGGCTGCCAAGGGGTCCCCACCTTGCCAAACTTGACATGCTGCTGGTAGAGGATGCCGTCCTTGACGGGGGTCTCCAGGGGCTCCATGGCCACAGCCACAGGCAGGGCTGCTGCTTCAAGACCTGGAGTGACTGATGACAGGCTGGACGGGAACTCCTCACACTTCCCCTTCTGGCCACTTCCCGTCCCTCCGTCCAGAGGCAGCTGCAGGCTAGGGGGAGGGGAGTCTCTCTTCAGTGAAAACTCCTGTCTTTAGCTCAGGGGCTGAGGGCTGCACATATTTCCTCCCTGGGGTTCTAGCTGCCCAAGGAGCCCACACTTGCCCAGAAGGAGCCCCTGGCCACCTGAAGGCAAATGGCCTGCACCTGCACTTGGGTCAGCTGGGCATGAGCGTCTGACCGCAGGCTGGCTCCAGAGTCAGGAGCTCCCACCCCTCCCCCATCCCGCCCTGGGCAGCTAGCTACGCATCCTGGGCCTGACACTCCCTGGCCCTGCCTTCTCTAGCCAGCTCCTGGATTTCCCACTCAGTGTCCTGGCTTGAGGGCCTCACCTCTTCTTTTTCCCTGAAATCTGTCTCATGTTCACCTGCTACTCTCCACCCCATAAGCCCCTGCCCATCCCAGCCTCAGCATCTCCCCCAGGGGCCACTGCCCCTTGCAGCACTCGCTACAACTCAAGACCAACCCGTCTCTCTCCTTCTTGGGGTGCAGCCTGGGCTCCTTAGCCCAAGTCAGGGGCCTGTATGTTCTGGCCTCCATTTCCCTCAGTCTCATTTCCCCAGACCAGCCCCTCCAGGGCCCCTCACCGCCGTCTTGCTCGGGGCAGTGGGCTGTCTCTTCCTCCTGGAGGCTTTCGCTGACCACTCCAAGCCTAGAGCACAAAGGCCCTCGCAGTATGTCACACTGGGCATCCAGTCCATGTGGGATCCACAGCCCTGAACGGCTCCAACCACGTGAGTGTGGGTGGCAGGTCCCAGTGGGGCCCGGAGAGGTCACATGTTCATTTAAAGCTTTGCTTCCTGCTGGGGGCTCTTTCTGTTGGTTAGCCTAGCAGGCCAGTAGCGGGGCTGTGTTTATCTTTATTCTAGAACAGCCTCACGTCGTTCAGTGCCACCTCTGGGAGAGAATATGGAAGCAGGCTGAGAAATGCTGTTCAGGCATGCACTTGGCCAGGAAATATTTCCTAAAGGCCTCCTGGCACCTGGCTCTGTGCCCACTGTGGCCCAGGCAGCCCTGAGCTCCAGCCCCCTCAGACACCACCTCCTTTGCTTTCTCACTGCCATTTCAACAGTGAGGAAATCAGCGCTCAGAAAAATTAAGTAACTTGCCCAAGGCCACACACCAAGTGACAAATATGGCTTGAGCAACCACTGTCCCACTGTAATGAGCATGTGGCCATATGTGCAAAGTGCCTGGCACAAGGAACTGCAGCCACCTGTGCCGTTCCCTGCCTACCTCTCACCAGATGCTGAGATGCTGCTTCATTTGCCAGTGGTCTTGTGACTGCCGTCTATGTATCTGCGTGTGCATCTTTCTTTCTCCTCAGAGAGCTTCCCTGGCAGCCATCTCCCTGGCCCATCTAGTTCTCGCAGCTCAGAGCTGGGCACAGAGCATGCTTAGAGCTTGTGGCCTAAACAGCAGTTCTATGACATCTGCTGCCTCCTTGGTCAGCGGAGCAGAGGGCTTCCTACGTGTGGCTGAAGCACGCAGGCAGTGGGTGGGGGGCCTGAAGCAAGCAGCAGCCTCCCAAGGGGCTTCAGGAGAAGCCCCTGAAACATCACACCACTGACAGGAAGAGTGAGGCTGGGGACTGTGACAGGTGGCCAGAGAGACCACAGAATCCAACCATTTCTTCTTGGCCTGCCAATGTGTCATAAATCCCTCCTTGAGTCATAAATGCAGACAACCCAATGGAGAGACCCTGAGTTCCCAGAGACGGGAACCTGCTCATTGACTCCTTCCACGGCCAAGTACCAGCAGGCTGGGTGTTGGCAATGCTAGTGGGAGACACTGGGGCCCTGCCTGACGAGCTCCGGAGGTCAGAGGCAAGGTCTGCCCAGGAACCAGGGGGCGGACAAGGTGAAACACAGATGCAGGGCCAGGGCTGGGATAGAGGTTTGTGCTTTAATGGCAGCTGGGGTGAAAGGGAACAAAAATAGTAATTCTGAGGGGCACAGGGAACAGGCAGCCAGGCCTAGCCCAGCCCAGCCCAGGCCAGCTGGGCTGAGGATGCTGGTTCTGTCCAGGGGGCTGCTGTGTGTGCATAGAGTGGCTGCAGTCCTGGGGACTGAGGCCTCCTGGAGAGGAAGGAAGACTGTTGGCTCAGAAGTCCATGGAGCTGTGGGCCAGGTAGTCCTTGCGGCCGATGTTGCTGACCTGCTTGGTCTGCATAGCCTCAAGTTTGGGGCAGTCGGTGATCCGATGGCCCAGGCCCCCACAGAAGGCACAGCCACGCTCTCCTGGGGGAATGGGGATAGGGGTCAGCAAGGTCACAGGCCGGGATCCACGCGCTGGACCTCGGGCCTCCCATTAGGCACCGTCGGTCCACTGATGGCCAGCATGGACCTGTTTTGTGTGTTTCTGACTCCCAGTACCCTTCCCTGCCACCCGCCAGCTGGGGACACACAGCTCCTGCCCCGCAGTCACCTCCGATATCCAGCATGGACTCGTCCCCACAGTGCAGCACCTGCAGCACTGGTGGCACCTTCTGCTTGGCTTCCAGCAGCAGGGCTTTCAGGTCCATCAGCACTGACTCATCTGGGGGAGGAGTGGGGAAGCATCAGGCCCCACCCTGGGCCCTGCGGCCAGAACCTGGATGGCCACAGGCAGGGGACCTAGGAACAGCTGAAGTGGCTCTGGTGAGACTCACCACAGGCTTTGTTGATGAAGGTGGTAGCAATGCCTGTGTTTCCTGAACGCCCAGTGCGGCCAATCCGGTGTACTGCAGAGAGAGGGACGGAGTCTCTGGCTGACTGCTGGACACTACAAGCCTAGCCTGGCCCTCCCCTGCCTAGCCTGTGCCCCTGGGTCCCAAGCCCCTACCATAGTTCTCAATCTCCTCTGGCATATCATAATTGATGACGTGCTGGATGGCAGGGAAGTCCAGGCCCTTGGAGGCAACATCTGTGGCTACTAGGACATCCTTCTTGCCCTCCCGGAATGCCTCAATGGCCTTAGTCCGTTCCTCTTGGTCTGGGGAGGGTCAGGTAGACACTGTTAGAGCCAACATAGGAGTGGGGGAGTAGCAGGCTGACCAGGCAGGGGAAGATGTTAGGTGAAGCACCACTATAGCAGCGGGGTCCATGCCAGTGGTTCCACCACCCTGACCTTTGCCCCCATGGATGGCTACAGCCTCAACCCCCTTGAGCAGCAGGTACTCGTGGATGGCGTCCACATCTGCCTTCTTCTCTGCAAAGATGAGCACCTGTCCAGAAAGACCAACTCAAGTCAGGGGCTGACTGCCTGGGCACCCACCTTACCTCCCCTAGCATTCTGTCCCATCCAAAGCCCTTCCTGGTCCTGGGGAGTCTGGCCCCAGCCTGGCCCAGCTGCACTCACAGGTGGGGGTGTCTTCTGCAGGCACTCGAGCAGGTACACCATCTTGGCCTCCTCCTTCACATATTCCACCTCCTGCCACCACAGGGATCAGGTCAGGTGATCTCTAGATTAGGCTTAGCCACCACAGCCCTGTCACACAGCCCCTCATCTGGATAAGGAGGTGGCCAGAAGCCTCTGACCTCCAAGGGCTGGATGCCCTAAAAATTGCCTTGGTTAAGGGTCAGGGGCTTTGAATAAAACCGCCAGTCCTCATAAGGTAGACCCCTGGCTCCAATCAGCTTCAGGGCACCTTGTCAGATCCAGCCCCTACAAGTGAGAGACTGCCCATCAGGAGTGTCCACCCACCTGGATGACATCCAGGCTGGCAGCCCCAGCGCGCCCCACGTTGATGGTAACAGGCTTTACAAGGGCACTCTTAGCAAAGTTCTGAATCTTCTTCGGCATGGTGGCACTGAAGAGTAGGGTCTGCCGCTGGCCCTGAGGAATAACGGGGGCTGCGACCAAGGGCACACAGGGCTGGGCTGAGGGGCATGGGGTCTAGGGAAGCTGAGCAACTGAGACACAGCCCACGAAGTAGGAGCAGTGGGTGGGGTGGTCGGGGGCATGGGGTCTCCACAGTTCAATGTGGGTGTGGTGGTGGGGTGGTGCGGGGGTGCCCTGGCTGGGCAGGGGGCTGGCACCTTGAAGTATGAAAAGATGGTGCGGATGTCGCCCTCAAAGCCCATGTCAATCATGCGGTCTGCCTCATCCAGGGCCAGGTAGCGACAGATGTCTAGACTGACCATCTTCTTCTGCAGCAAATCCATGAGGCGTCCTGGGGTGGCCACCATCATGTGCACACCGCTGGGGACCAAGGAGAGACCCTGAGGTTGGGACCACTGGCCTGTCACCTCCCACAGACACCCTGCATCTGTTCTGCTCTCTGTTGTCCTTCCTATTTCTTTCTCTGTCCCCTCCTTGTCATTCCTACCACTTATGGGACCCAATGTATAACATACAACTCTTTCCCAAGGCACTGCAGCTTTCTTCGCCACTGCTCGGCCTGGCACACCCTTCCCACTTCTCCTGGATCAGTCCTCTCACCAAGGGGCTGTCCTAAAGCTCCAGAGGCTTGACTCTGGGCACAATTTCCTGGTACATTGGCTTCACCTTTTCTGTGCTAACATCTTCCTAAGACTAGGAATATCTCCAGGATGGGGACTGGACCATCTGTGAACAGAGGGCCCAAGGCCTCTGGTGGTCTGCAGTGGACTGCACAGCATGGAAAGGATATAGGTGCAGCTGGGATCCAGACCTACTCCAGTGCCTCAGCCTCCTTGACTGACCACTGAATGACCCTGACCTTCCTGGGCCATCCAACTCTGCACTTTCAGCCTGGACTGCCCCTCTTCCAAATTCAAATATTACCTTCCCTGCAAAGCCTTCTCTGAGCTCCCACCTCCCAGATGTCCCAGCATGGTGGGCCTTTCCATCTGCTGTCCTCCCACAGTACCTAGCCATATCCCTCTGTCCTCCTCCAACTGACCTCCCCATTAGACTGGGAGCTCCTTGAGGTATGGACTCGCAGCAGACCTCTGTGAAGATCTGTGGAGTAGCTAAGGTAAGGGGTCCTTTAGTTTTTCTATGGACTCTAAGATGGTGGAGGGTGGGGGCAGGGAGCACAAGCACTCACTGTCGGATGGTCTCCATCTGCTCTTTCACGGACATGCCCCCGATGCAGAGAGCGCAGCGCAGGAGTGGTGAGCTGTCTTCCTGCAGCAGGCGGCAGTAGTACTCCAGGATGCCATGGGTCTGCCGGGCCAGCTCTCGCTGTAGGCAGAGGGACAAAGGCTGGCACCAGATGGCAGCCCCAGTCTCTGACCTGCCCTCCAGGGTAGCCTATCTTACTGAGGGGCAGATGATTAGTCCATAGGGCCCCTCGCGCTTTGAGAAGGGTAGCCTCTTCTCTTGTTCCAGGCAGAACATGATGACAGGCAATGTGAACACCAGTGTTTTGCCTGAACCCGTGAAGGCGATGCCTATCATGTCACGGCCAGATAGACTGTTGGGAGAGGATGACCCAAGGGTCAATATCAACAGAAGATGAAGGATACCTACCCACTGCTTCTCCCTGTTACTGCCCTCCTCGAGGACCCTAGGTCCACAGTCCATACTCACATGGTAGGGATTCCCTGGATCTGAATGGGTGTTGGGTGGTGGATGCCTTTCTTCTTCAGGCCTCTCAGGATGGCTATGAAAACCAACCGACACCGTCCTCGTGACTCACAGGTACTTTCTCAAAGCCCCAAAGCCTGTAAAATTGGCACTACCACTTCAAGTTGCAGATGATGAAATTGAGGCTCAGAGAGACAGACAGAGAGAGGAAAAAAAAAGAAAAAAAGAGACTTGTCCAAGGCCCACAGGCTAGGTGCAGCCAAGATTTCTATCCAGTGTCTACGCCCAATGTCACTTTCCTCCTGAAGCTTTGTAACAGCACAGAACAGTGAACACATACAGCTGCGGCAACAAGGGACCTAAAGAAACTTCTCCTCATCCCTCCAGCCCTAGTGACTGGACCCAACGCAGATGTGGCTGAGCTCAGTGGAGGCTAGGACATAACCTCCCAAATATTTGATTATAAAAGTGTAGTCTCTTTCCAGCCCGAGTACCTGCAGGAAACTTCATTTCCTTGAAGCTTTTGATGGGTGGTGGGATACCGTCTCCCTCCACCAGGATGTGGTATTTCTTCCGCACACGCTCATGTCGCTCTTCAGACATGCTCAGGACATAACGGGGCGGAGTCCAACTGTGGATGGGTAAGGGATCAAGAGAGCCCTGGGCACAGCTGGCCTGGGAGCATTCCTGCACATACCATCCTAAGCAAGGGCAACTGCAGACTGTACAGACATACCTGGTTTTGATGGGGTCATCATATGTGATACCCTTAGCCATCTCCTTCACTGACATCAATGCTGAGGAGAAAGATAAGGCTCAGGGCTGGCTCCTGCTTCTGAGAGGCCAGATCCCTTGAGATATAACATGCCTGAAGCTGGTAGGAGGAGACTCAGTCCACCTCCTCATTATCCTGGCTACAACCATACCTCGGCCCTCAGCCACACTCTCCAGAATCTTCTCTTCTTCCTTCAGCTGCTTCTCCTTGGCAGACTCTTTGCGGGCTGAGAAAAGAAGTGGAAGATGTCAGACAGACACCAGCATGGTGCGTCAGGCTCAGCTTCTCCCTTCCCACCCAGGCAGTGCTGTTCAGCCCACCTTCAGCCTTCTCTTTAAGGTGCTGGTGCTGATCCAGGAGGCTGACGTTGGACTGAGGGCCCAGCGGGATGTCGTCCTCATCACCCCGGGGTTCGCTGCCACTGTCCTGCTGCTCTTCCTCCGCAGCTCCCTTGCGTCTTCGCTGCAGCAGC